AGTGGGGGGCGGGTGCACCGCACCTGCCCCCCCCCCCCGGTAGTTGCAGCTGCCGCTGAAAGCGGCAGCGGCCATAACGTCTTAAAGAGCCCCTAAGGAGAGCTGGGGGAGTCAGAATGACCTCTCGCCAGAATGACATCACACGCGAGAGGTGGAATTTGCCCCTACGAGTCCAAGGCCACCACCCCAGGCTCAGGGAGGCGGGGGAACATCGTCCCCCCTGGTTGCCCAACTGATGGCTGTTGGGGGGCAGGGGGCGGGGCTTATGTGCCCGCCCCCTGGGCTCCTGACTGGCAGAGCGGTGCTCCGTGTGCTCCGGCAGGACCCGAGGCCAGTAACCAACTAACAATCAAACAGAGATGTCACATTAATGTATATAAACTACTGAATAACTCAAACAGCTTTAAGCATTACTCTCCACAGCCAGTCACATCTATTCAGACTGGCACTGGTTGTCCCCGTTGTTCTAACATACATGTTTTCTAGGCTGGCTTGCAGCGATTCTTCTTTAACTGAACATGACAAAGATTGAATCTTCTGTGGTATCTTTGGCCACTGGACTACACTCTTTTTGTAGGGCTGCTTAAAATTCAATGTCTTGATTCAGGCAGTGAGTCAAAATGAAGGAGACTGCAATAATACAGAGAATGGGGGATGTCATCAGTGCACAGTGGATGAATGTGTACAAAACCAGTGACACAAACACTGGCTTTCATTGGTTCGAAAGTTGAATGATGCACTGGAATTTGAAGAGGGAAAGGTTAATAATAGTACAGTCCTCCTGTTTTTTATTTTACAAAATATTGTCCAGGAGTGTCTGTAATGCTCAAGTGCTTTTAATGCATCCCACCCACCCCTTGTGGTATGATTATCTGTGGAATGCATGCTCTAGCCTGTTGGGCGGTATTACAGAGGCATTTTGGCCTGGAAAGGGTAAATAAAAGTGTGGGATTTTAACTTCTGGATTTCCAAAATATTGTTCTGGAATGCCCTTAAATAATCCCACTGCTTTTTGTGCTACGTTTGTTTAATGCCCGTTCTGGCCTGTTTCTGAGTATTCCGGAGGCATTTTGGCTCAAAATGGGTTAATAAGTGCATACTATCTCTGTGATTATGGAGCTGCGGTGGCTCAAGTGGTTAAGACGCTGAACTGCAGGCTGTGGAAGGTCAGTAGTTCAGCGGTTCAAGACCCGGGTGCCGCAAGACGGGGTGAGCTCCTGTCTCTAGTTCCAGCTCCTGCCAACCTAGCAGTTCGAAAGCAAGAAATTGCAAGTAGATAAATAGGGACCACTTCGGTGGGAAGGTAACAGCGTTCCGTGCGCCTTGGTGTTTAGTCATGCCGGCCACATGACCACGGAAACGTCTTCGGACAGCGCTGGCTCTTCGGCTTTGTAACGGAGATGAGCACCGCAACCCTAGAGTCGGATTCGACTGGCTTTCGAGCAAGGGAACCTTTACCTTTACCTTTATCTCTGTGATTGGATTTCCAAAATATTGTTCTGGAGTGACTTTAACACAACCCACTGTTTCTTGCAGTACTATTGTTTGTTTAATGCCCGTTCCAGCCTGTTCCTAGGAGTTCCAGAGACATTTTGGCCCCAAACGGGTTAAAAACTGCATACTACCTCTGTGATTGGATTTCCAAAATACTGTTCTGAGATGCCTTTAACACACCCCACTATTTCTTGTGCTACTATTGTTTTTTAATGCCCGTTCCGGGCTGCTCCGGAGTCATTTTGGCCTGGAACGGGTTAATAAATGCATACTATCTCTGCTATTGGATTTCCAAAATATTGTTCTGGGGTGCCTTTAACACACCCCACTATTTCTTGTGCTACTATTGTTTTTTAATGCCCGTTCCGGGCTGCTCCGGAGTCATTTTGGCCTGGAACGGGTTAATAAATGCATACTATCTCTGCTATTGGATTTCCAAAATATTGTTCTGGGGTGCCTTTAACACACCCCACTATTTCTTGTGCTACTATTGTTTTTTAATGCCCGTTCCGGGCTGCTCCGGAGTCATTTTGGCCTGGAACGGGTTAATAAATGCATACTATCTCTGCTATTGGATTTCCAAAATATTGTTCTGGGGTGCCTTTAACACACCCCACTATTTCTTGTGCTACTATTGTTTTTTAATGCCCGTTCCGGGCTGCTCCGGAGTCATTTTGGCCTGGAAAGGGTTAATAAAAGAGTGAGAGTTCCGTGTTTTCACTTCTAGAATATTGTTCTGGAGGGCCTGTAATGCATGCCACTGTTTTTTGCGGTGCTATTGTGTGTTTAATGCTTTTTCAGGGCCGTTCCGAGGTATTCTGGAGGTATTTTGGCCTAGAAAGGATTACTAAAAGAGTGAGGGTTCCGTGTTTCCACTTCTAGAATATTGTTCTGGAGGGCCTGTAATGCATGCCACTTTTTTTTTTTGCAGCACTATTATGTGTTTAATGCCCGTTCCAGGCTATTCCGGAGGCATTTTGGCCTAGAAAGGATTAATAAAAGAGTGAGAGTTCTGTGTTTCTACTTCTAGAATATTGTTCTGGAGTGCCTGTAATGCATGCCACTGTTTTTTGTGGCGCTATTGTCTGTTTAGTGCCTGTTCTGGGCTGTTACGGAGGTATTTTGGCCAGGAAAGGGTTAATAAAAGAGGGTTCCGTTTCCACTTCTAGAATACTGTTCTGGAGTGCCTGTAATGCATGCTACTTTTTTTTGCGGCACTATTGTGTGTTTAATGCCCGTTCCAGCGGCATTTCAGCCTAGAAAGGATTAATAAAAGAGTGAGAGTTCCGTGTTTTCACTTCTAGAATATTGTTCTGGAGGGCCTGTAATGCATGCTACTGTTTTTTGTGGTGCTATTGTGTGTTTAGTGCCCGTTCCGGGCTGTTCCAGAGGTATTTAGGGCTGGAAACGGTTAATAAAAGAGAGTTCCCTGTTTCCATTTCCAGAATACTGTTCTGGAGGGCCTGTAATGCATGCCACTGTTTTTTGTGGTGCTATTGTGTGTTTAGTGCCCGTTCCGGGCTGTTCCAGAGGTATTTAGGGCTGGAAACGGTTAATAAAAGAGAGTTCCCTGTTTCCACTTCTAGAATACTGTTCTGGAGGGCCTGTAATGCATGCCACTGTTTTTTGTGGTGCTATTGTGTGTTTAGTGCCCGTTCCGGGCTGTTCCAGAGGTATTTAGGGCTGGAAACGGTTAATAAAAGAGAGTTCCCTGTTTCCACTTCTAGAATACTGTTCTGGAGGGCCTGTAATGCATGCTACTGTTTTTTGCAGCACTATTGCATGTTTAATGCCCGTTCCGGGCCGTTCAAGAGGCATTTAGGCCTAGAAAAGGTTAATAAAAGAGTGAGAGTTCCGTGTTTCCGCTTCTAGAATATTGTTCTGGAGGGCCTGTAATGCATGCCACTGTTTTTTGCGGTGCTATTGTCTGTTTAGTGCCTGTTCCGGGCTGTTAAGGAAGTATTTTGGGCTGGAAAGGGTTAATAAAAGAGTGAGAGTTCCTTTTTCATTTCTAGAATACTGTTCTGGAGGGCCTGTAATGCATGCCACTGTTTTTTGCGGCACTATTGTGTGTTTAATGCCGGTTCCGGAGGTATTTTGGCCTAGAAAGGGTTAATAAAAGAGTGAGGGTTCCGTGTTTCCTCTTCTAGAATATTGTTCTGGAGTGCCTGTAATGCATGCCACTGTTTTTTGCAGTACTATTGTGTGTTTAATGCTCGTTCCGGGCCTTCCGGCTTTTACCCTGTCCGGTTTTGGGCAGATTTTAAATTAGCTAACTAACTATTTGAAAAAGTGTGTGTGCATACCAAAGCTTATACCTTCAATAAACCCTTTGTTGGTCTCTTTTTTCCCTTGTTCTTGCCTTTTTTTAAAAAAATTATTTATAATTTTGATGTAATACACCGAAAATTGCTTGTAAAACCCCTCCCCATAATCACTACAGAGTCTTACACCTCCTCAAAGGGATCCATCTCTACTAACCTAATGTTTACATTCCTTGATAAATTTCTCATTCCACTTCTACATTCTTGTAAAGGTAAAGGTTCCTTTGCTCGAAAGCCAGTCGAAGCCGACTCTAGGGTTGCGGTGCTCATCTCCGTTTCCAAGCCGAAGAGCCAGCACTGTCCGAAGAAGACTTCCGTGGTCATGTGGCCGGCATGACGCACAGAACGCTGTTCCCACCGAAGTGGTACCTATTTATCTACTTGCAATTTCATGCTTTCGGAGGTTGGCAGGAGCTGGAACTAGGGGAGCTCACTCCATCATGCCACACCCGGGTCTCGAACTGCTGAACTACTGACCTTCCACAGCCTGCAGTTCAGCATCTTAACCACTTGAGCCACCCCAGCTCCTCTACATTTTTGACCCACCTTCTAAAAACGTTTCTTCACCTTCCCCTTGTAAAAAAAAAACACAAGTTAATCTATCCATTTCGGCCATAGCCATCCATTCCCAAAGTAGTTCTTCTTGGTCTTAATGGTGCCCCTGGACGCTAAATGAGTTTATCCAGGCTCCAAGGCAGAGCTTGGCTTTGAAGCCACGTGTCTCTTTCTAGAGCGGCCAGAGATTCCCGCCCTCCCCTCCTCCCCCCCTCCCCTAAGCGCATGCGCTCTGCGACCTTCCAGCCCAACGGCCGTCTGTCGCTGCCGCTCGCCGCCGACTTACCCGGCTGGCAGGGCGGCGTGGCGACAGGCGAGGATGGGGCCGGCTGAAGGAGCGGCTGCGGCACCGGCGCCTCTTCACAGGGGCCGCCGCGGGAAGCGGCGGCGGAGGATGGGGGCAGCAGGTAGCGTCGGGGCGCGGGCAGGCAGCGGCGGCACAGCGATTGGAGGCAGGGCAGGAGCTTCGGCTGACGGCTCTGCAGCCGCTGCCCGCACGCCCCGCAGACGTCCAACGGGGCGGGCCAGCTCTCGGCCTCGCTTCCGCCGCTCGGGGTCAGGTAGCGTCGGGGCGCGGGCAGGCAGCGGCGGCACAGCGAGTGGAGGCACGGCAGGAGGTTCGGCTGACGGCTCTGCAGCCGCTGCCCGCACGCCCCGCAGACGTCCAACGGGGCGGGCCAGCTCTC